AGAAAACTTCTTTCTGAGCAACAGAAGGGGTCCCAAGTGAGTTTCCAGGGACTGTGTCTTTTTTAGGGACTTTTACAGAGTAAAATCATAGGGTTAGATAGATGAGTCAAAGTTGGGGAAAAATGGGAATTTGCAAGGTGGGCATAATGCAGGCCAGAACTGATGTCAACCAAGAAGATTAATTATTCAGGTAAAATTGATTAAATTAGGGACAAATAAGGGAGCCAGTCACATAGAAGAAGGCATGGTTAATAGCAGTGACTCTTCCTGTAGGGGTGTGGGATGTTGACTCTTTACTTCCTCAGGGTGATAGAGAACTATTTGGACTGTGGATCCTTAGGAGGTGATTGTATTTGCTTTGCCTTTTGTCTTGAGATCTGGCCCACAGCAGGAGGTGATTGTCTCTTCCAAGGCTGCAAGGTGTCTGAACTTTTGTCCTGGCTCTTTTGAGAGCCCAGCCCTTTCTGGCTGCTTATATTTCTAACTCAGCTGCCTATAACAGTAGAGCCTATTTTTGAAGTTATGCAGACCTTAACATCACTTTAGAAGTGGTACTGCTGATATAATTATGGCAGATTTGTAATTAAATAGACAATAATAATGACGGAGGTTTTCTTTTTTTTCTTTTGAGAGTAGTAGAATTAGCAACTGAGTTCTCACACTATCACAATTTGGCATATTAGGATAACTCGGGAGAGCCAGGAGCCAAGAGAAGAGAGAAGAGATGAATAGAAAAATTCTTAATGGCCCTCTTAACTAAAACTTGTTAGTAAAGAAATACAAAGTACAGGTTTTACATGGTTGAAAACCATTTTGTAAGATATTAACAAGGGCCTCTTATTATGGTTATGCTTAGATTAGCAATGGGAAGTTGGTGGTTTAACAACTCATGACAATATTTATTTGAAAATGTGCGTGTGAGAGAGAATCCTTATGGTGGTCTAGAGGCACTCAGGAGACGGTTGGAAGATGTTCATCAAGAGCCACAGGTGCAAGGAAATGGGGCAAGCTAGAGACACACAAAAACCCAAATGCAGGAAAGCTATTCAAAGTGTAACTCAACAGTCTAGTTCCAGATTAATTTCAGTATCAGTTTTTTTTTTTTAGGAGCCAAGGTCAACTCAATCCCAGCACTGGTTACACCCTGGGCCTGGTGAACATTCCATTTTGAGAAAAAAAATCTAACCCTCTGAGGGAAGAATACATGTGTAGCACAGCTGCCAGGCTGTGATTGCCACTGGTCTAGCCAGCACCTCCCAGTACCTACTTGTCCTAACTCTCGTCCCACTGGGAGACAGAGACAACCAGGGAGATGTTTAAAAGACAGCACTTCCTCAGATCAGAACACTAAGCAAAATATAAGCCAGAGAATCACAGGGCAGTGACTGAATTAAGACTAGTGAGCCCCTAACTAAGAAGAATAAAGGGTATGGTGTGAGGCAGTGAGAGAGACTCAGGGGTATACAGTGGCCATGACAGGTGTGGAGAAAAGATGCAAGCTGTGCCAGAATAGGCATCCTTCACAGCTCCCCCAAATGTTACCAAGTTCTGTGCTTGTGTGGGATTCCTTCTGCCATTTGCCCTCCAAATATCAAAGAATTTAGCACCCAACACAGGATCTCTCCCACTCTCCACCAAAAGCTCGTGAGCTCTTCTCTAATAAAGAAACACCTCAGAAATATAATGCTAAGTCCAATTTCTGATTATCTTTTAGATTTCAGTGTTTTGTAGCCATAAACTCTATCAATGTTCATTAGAATGTCAGTTAAAAAAGTGTGACAAGAGTTGACTATGAAACAAAGCAAAACCCTCACCTTGATTAAGTGGGTGGGTTGGCACTCTTCTTTCATGATGATCTTGTGTTTTTCCACTTGAATTACTATTAGTCAAATTTTGTACTTCCTTTAATATTGGAACATTCATACGGATACTTTCTAAAGTAGAAATCATGTTAATCTCTTTTCTTAAAAACAAACGACTCTTGCCCTGAATCTAAGAACTGTACTGAAACTTATTTCATCCAGGCAACACTTGTTCAATATTCCTCCTCTCTATCTTTAGTGGGAATAATACTTTGAGTCTCCAACTTTTGACATAAATGCAGAAGTGACTCGACACTTTTTGGTTTAAGGTAGAGGGTGTGGTTTATTCTTTGAAAATAATGAGTTAGATTCTCATACCATGCCATTGTCATACGTAAATGAATTTTTGTGGCAAAAGAGTTTTCAGAATTTTTTTTTCTTTTTTGGTACCAGAGATTGAACTCATGATCTCATACTTGCCAGGAGGCACTTGTGCCACTGAGCTAAATTCCTTGTCCCTTTAGTAATTTTTAACTCCATCATTTTTGTAGGAATTTTAAATTATATCCTTTAGTGAACAATTAGAACATGAATTTTTTATTTATTCATTGGATGTTTTTAGTTATGTCTGCTCATTATTTTGCTTCACTTTAAGTTCCAGTAGGGCAACTGAAAAATTAATACAATCACATGCCTCCTGTCAGGGTGAATCGTAGAGAACTTGTGCCTGTAGACATGTAAGTGGAGCAATATATATATATATATATATATATATATATATATTACTCTATTTTTGAAATAAACTTCATACTGAAGTTTGGGACTTAGATACATGATCAAATTAGGAAACAACTTTTTACATTTCCAGAATATTCAAAGCTGAACATTATCTTTGACTGACTGAATCGAACATGTTAGATGAATATTATTATAACACATAGTATATAGTCTGAAAAACTGTAGAGCACTATAGGAAGCATGTGATTTTTCTCAGACAGTTCTTAGAGCAAGGAAAAAGTACTTGTGGTCCAGAACTGAAGGCTGGAGGGTAAAATTATCAGTAAAAGTAAACACTATTTTGCTTAAATGGTTATGCTTTGACCTGCGCTGTTTTGTTGTTATGCTCTCTTTTATCTCAATCTCCTTTTTAAAAATTATTTACTTTTTTATTTTTATCTTTTTAATTAAGGGAAAAATAAAAATAGCAGGATACATTATAGTAACCCATTTTGATTTCTTATTAACTTGATTTGAAACCCTGTATTGACCTTACCATCTTGTTTTGACTGATTTTCCTCTGTTCTGCTTTGCTTGATAGTACCAAGTTCGAAAGTATAGGCAAAACCGTGAAGACAATAAGATTCACTATAGTGCCCATTCTGGTTGACTATTATCTTCTTTTAAAGTCCTTTAATGTCTCCAATGTTTTGATTTTATTACTTACTATTTTGCTCAATTTTATTATAACTGATGATATAGGCAATTCTTTTTTTAAGTTAGCAAGAGGCAGTATGGTAACCATTGTTGATCACCTTGTATTTTGTTTTTACATTATCTATTATGTCCATCCTTTTGATATGACTGACTCTGTTATGTCACATTTGGTTTTACTCTCTTCAAAAAAAAGTAATAAGAACTGTGGGAGTAATAAAACCCAAAATGTGTAATTGTCATTGTACAAAAGAAAGGAAAAGAGGCTGGGGATTTAGCTCAACGGCATAAGCACGTGCCTTGCAAGCAGACGGTTGTGAGTTCGATCCCTGGTACCGATTTAAAAAAAAAAAAAAAAACAAAAGAAAGGAAAAGAAAGAGCTCTAAAGAATATAACTGCGGGGTTGGAGGTTTAGCTCAGTGGCATAAGCACCTGCCTTGCAAGCAGGTGGTCGTGAGTTCGATCCCCCGTACCGATAAAAATGAAAAAGACCAAAAAAAAAAAAAAAAAAAAAAAGAATATAACTGCATGTATATTTAAGTGTATAAGATAGATAACCATATTACTGAGTTTTGTTGGATCATTGAACAAAACTGTTTGCAGTCCCACTGTTTGAAAGTCCACTTTACATGCTTTAATTTTGTAACTTGAACAACTATTTCTAAGATAACAATATGTAATCTAGTGATTTCCTACTGTTTATTCTTTCTGAAATTCTGTATAACTTATACCCTTTTTCTGTTTTTTTTCTTTTTCTCCTTAAATAAAATTTAAAAAAAATATACTATCGTGCCCAGTGATACCAGTCCAGGCATTTTAACTCGCCATAGTGTTCTCAATGTAACAAACTTTGCATTCAATAATGTGGAAAAGACTGCAATTTGCCATTTCTTATAAAAGTCCTCTGCCCTTTGTTGACACAAATGTAACAGATGATATTCTCCCAAGATCATGTGTAATTCTTGTTGTATTAGATTTGTTAACTCTTAATTCATTTAAATCTGTTGGAATGCTTGGTTTCAGAAAGTCCCATATTAATAGAACATCTGTCTGTATATCTACTCAGATTTGTGTGTTAATGATTAATAAATTACTTGCCATACTTCACATTACCTTACTCTGTTACAAATGTTGAAAATCACTGATTTAATTGAACCTTCTATCATTTGCATTACAAACTTCTATGTATTGAGTTTTACAAGGGTACTCCACTTGTTAAGGACTAATTAATGAATGGTATAGGTATATTCTAAGTTTAGTATACAGGTAAGCTTGTCTTCTCATTCAGTTTGTCTTAACAATGAAAACAGATTAGAATGATTTTGAGCTTTGTTTCACTCTCAAGTAAAAGTACATTTCTGGTGACTATAAGCTGCTTGTTAAGATGATAAGTCATTTGGAAAGACTTTGAACAAGGTTTGAAACTGAGGTTTATAAATCATCATAGCTTCCTATACACATCCTTTTGAATTACTATATTTCTTTGTGTTATTGCATGCATCAGGTAATCTTGCTTCAGCATTACTAGACATGGGTCTTTTCAGTGAAAAAAATGATAAAAACGAATTATAAGCCATTCTTCAACTCACTTATGAAACATCATTAGCAAGACAATTATAAAGAATTAAAGTAATATCTGTTTTAAAACCATACATTTTTACCCATTCATTTCTGTTGCCTCACAAACACTGAATTTTGTTGGATTTAAAAAATACAAAAGCTGCTTGCTCAGCTATATTATTTCTTGTCATTTGGGTCCTACTTAGATTAAGAAGAAACAGCAAGATGTGCTTGGTTTCTTAGAAGCCAACAAAATAGGATTTGAAGAAAAAGATATTGCAGCCAATGAAGAGAATCGGAAGTGGATGAGAGAAAATGTACCTGAAAACAGTCGACCAGCCACAGGATATCCCTTGCCACCTCAGATTTTCAATGAAAGCCAGTACCGTGGGGTAAGGAAAGAATTTTCATTCTTGTTTCTTGTTTTGTTTTGTTTTAATAGATTGTTCTAAATCTGTCCTATTTTTTTGCCTGACCTACAAACTTGCACATAGTCATTTTTCCTCTGTACTGTAATTTGATCTCTGCTCTTACCCTAAGGAGCTGGAATATTTTACTTCTACTAGGAAGCAAATGGATGAGTCATTGGTAAAAAGAGTATTCATAAATGTGTAAGTACAAACCTAAACAGAAAGTCAACTTTCCATTTCATCTTGATGTCAACCAGAACAATTGTTGTGCCTGATGTGTCTACTGAGAAGCCTCTGAAAAGAAGTCACGTGATTTAGCTATTTAAATTAAAATTAGTTAAAAAGAATATGTTTCCTTTTGAAACTAGTAATATATCCATATTGGTATCATTAAAAGACCTTCTTAAGTTAGCTAATTGAACTCATTTCAAGGAGTGAGGGAAGCAATAATTTGAGTTTTTGCTCTGTGACAGAAGCTTTTAATATACAATCTCAACTCATTGAATCTTCATTTTTAACCAAGTAGTTTCATTCATTCTTAATTTTTCATTCACTATATATTGAAGTGAATTCTTATAGCCTATGTGCATTCCAGGCACCATACCCTACAAGGATAAATAAAAGCTTTTCAATGCTGAGTGGAAATGAGATATGTGAAGAATCATAAATATCTTCAATAATTAGAGGGAGGGTACAGTAGGTATATACAAAAGCTATAGGGATTTGGAGTAAAAGAATGCTTGTACTGCTGGGTCCTCAAGTTTAGCATGATGGAAGAACAAATATTTATAGAGGTACCAGTCCAAATCCTCTGTCTCATAGGTTTATATAAAAAGATCACATTTTGATATTAAGTCTATATATACCAATTCAGAGCAATTAAGGGATGAATATGACAGAAACAGGAAAGTTCATTGGTACAAAATCTTTTCTCCATTAGTGTATTTGTCAGTTACAAAGAAGAACCTGGAAATTTCAACTGTTACTGCCAACAGTGTAGTATGCAAGGATATATTCTACATACAAAGTAAAGGAGCTAAGGCCATTTCAAATTTTTGAACTTCAGTATCCATATATTTGAAATTTCTAGAAATTGTGAATCTTGGGAGCTGGGAGAAGCATCTAAAATCATCCAGTCCAATTTATGTCTACATATGTTGTTGTGACCTTTATTTTTACAAATTTTATTTTTTAAAACTGATACACATATTTGTACATATTGAGGAGCTACCTATTGATGTTTTGATATATGTATATAGTGTTTAATGTGCAACGCAAGGCAAATATAGCTATCTCCTCAAAAACTGTCATGTCTTTGTCATAAAAAACATTCAAAATATAAGAAAATGTGTTATTTGTACACAATGAAGGTCTACTCTACCATAAAGAAGGATAAATGAGTCATTTGTAGGAAAATGGATGCACTTTAAAGTCATAATGTTAAATGAAATATATGACATACACAAGCTTAAACACCACATTTTTTCTCTTATAGGAGCATTACAAAGTTTAAATAAAGTGCAAAATACATAGATAATAGGAAGCAGGCAGTATAGTAGGTAGATAGTAAGAAGTAGGGAGGAAGATCTTTCTCAGATGAGAAGAGAATCAAGAGATGGAGGGAGGGGATGGTAAAAGGGGATAGAAGGAGAATTAAGATGTGTTACAAACATGTAGGAACTCTCCACAAGGGTTGTAATCATTATGTATCACAAACATCTACTAATGAAAAATAAAAATTAGAAAAAATCTTGGCTTCTAGCTTTTTGGAAATAAATAGTACGTTATAATCTCCTTTTTGAAGCAGTAATTTCAGTTACTTGACTTTTGAAAGCAAATACATTTGAATTTAAGTGTTCATTTGAGAAACCATATTTATCTAGTTTACTTGTCCATTGGAAACCACACTGCTGGTGAATGGAATGTATTATATAATAATGCAAGTATCACTGAGCAATAAGAAGATCAAACTGAAGGTGTGGAAAAGAGATTTAAGTAATCAAGACAATGAAGTGTTGGGGATCTTCTATGTAGAGTATCATGTTATCTGCAAATAATGATAATTTAACTTCTTCCTTTCCTATCCCTTCCTTTTATTTCTGTCTCTGATTTAAATACTCTGGCTAATGTTTTCAACACCATATTGAAGAAGTGGTGATAGTGGACAGCCTTGTCTTGTTACTGATTATAGAATGAAAGCTTTCAGTTTTTGGCCACTTAATATGATGCTGGCTGTTAGTTTGTCATAGATGGCTTTTATCAGATTGAGGTAATGACCATCTATTCCAGTTTTCCATAGGATTCTTATCATGAATGAATGTTGGAGTTTTTAAAAACTCTTCTGCATATATTGAGGTGATCATGTTATTCTTATTTCTACTGATATGATGTGTTACATTTATTGATTTGCATATGTTGAACTATTTCTGCATTCCTGGGGTGAAATCCACTTGGTTGTGGTGGACAATTTTATTGAGGATTTTTACATTGATGTTCATTAGGAAGATTGGCCTATAGTTCTCTTTTTTTGGTTGAGTCTTTCTCTGGTTTTGGTATTAGCGTAAACTTGCTTCCAGGAATAAGTTGGGGAAAATTGCTTCCCTTTCAATTTCATTGAAGAATTTGAAGAGTGTTGGCATTGTCTTCCTTCAATTTCTTGCAGAATTCTGCTGTGAATCCATCAGGGATTTCCTATGTTGGTAAGGTTCTTAACTACATTTTCAGTTTCATTAACTGAAATTGGGTTATTCATCAGTTTTACATCTTATTCATTCAGCTTCTGTAATTCATATGTTTCTAGGAATCTAGAATCATTCTTTGAGTGTTATCAAACCTATGTGAGTAAAGCTTTTCAAAGTAGGTATTGATGATCTTCTATATTTCCACAGAGTCTGTAGTGACTTCAACCTTTTCATTCCTTATTGCATGAATTTGAGTTTTTTCCTTTCCTTTTTTAAGTAAGATTGGCTTGTGACTTGTCAATTTTATTAATTCTTTCAAAGAACCGACTCTTTGATTCATTAATTCTTTGTATTGTTTTCTTAGTATCTATTACATTGATTTCCACTCTGATCTTCATAATTCCCTCACTTCTTTTGGCTTTGAGCTTGACTTGCTCCTCTTTTTCTAGAGGCTTGAGATGTACCATCAGGTTATTTATTTATGTTCATTCCCTTTTCCTGATGTGCAAATTCACCACAATGAATTTTACTCTGAATACTGCTTTCATTGCATATTACAGGTTCCCATAAGTTGTATTTATATTTTTGTTTGCTTGTAGATACTGTTTAATTTCTTCTATTACCCATTGATTGTTCAGGAGTGGATTATTTAATTTCCATATGTTTATGGAGATTTTGCAGTTTGTTTTATCATTAATTTCCAGTTTTATAGCACTATGATCAGATAATGCAGATGAGATAATTTCAATTCTTTTGCATTTACTTAAGCATGTTCTATGGGCTAGTATATGGTCTATTTTAGAGAATGTTCCATGTGAAGCTGAGAAAAATTTATATTCTGATGTTGTTAAATGGAAACTGTACATGTCTACTGAGTCCATTCGTTCACAAGTTTGAGTCAGTTCTTTTATTTCTTTGCTGATTTTCTGCCTCATTGATCAATCTCTGTGTCAAGGGGGTGTTAAGGTCTCCTGTTATTATTCTCTCATTGCTTATTTGATTTTTCATTTTTATTAATATTTGTTTTATATAGCTGGGTGCTCCTATATTTGGTGCTTATATATTTAATATTGTCATCTCTTCCTCTTGAAAATTTCACCTATCAAAGATGTAATGACCTCTTTTATTTCTTTTGATCAGTCTTAGTTTGTGTGCAAACAGAGTAGCTATCCCTGCTTTCTTTGGGTTCCTGTTGCACCAAGTATTGTTTTCTATCCTTTGACTTTTAGTCTATGAATTTTCTTTTGGGTTAGATGGGTTTCTTGCATATAGCACATGGTCGCATGTTGTTTCTTGATCCATTCTGCCAGTTTGTTTCTTTCAATTGGTGAATTGAGGCCATTTACATTAATGGTTGTGAGTGGTATATGTTGGGTTAACTTTGTCATGTTATCTTTCTCCTGTTGGTTCTTTACCTTTCCCCTTTGTTTAATTGTTTACTTTGTTTAGTGTTTTTTTTTTTTTTCTGTTGGTGTTCTTGTAGTCATAGTTATTTTTGTGTCTATCTAGAATGTCTTTCAATATTCTTTTTTGGGGGAGTTCCAGTCTCATGAAGTATTGTTTTCCATCCTTTGACTTTCAGTCTATGAATTTCCTTTTGGGTTAGATGGCTTTCATATTACATACCACATATGGCTAAATGTTGTTTCATAATCCAATCTGCCAGTCTGTTTCCTTTTTTTTTTTTTTGGTCTTTTTCGTTTTTTTCGGTACCAGGAATCGAATTCATGACTGCTTGGTTGCAAGGCAGGCGCTTATGCCACTGAGCTAAATCTCCAGCCCCTAGTCTGTTTCTTTTAATTGATGACTTGAGGCCATTTACGTTAATGATTATAAGTGATAGATACTGGCTTCTTTTTGTCATATTATCTTTCTGCTGGTGGTTCTTTACCTTTCCCCTCTGTTTAATTGTTTGCCTTGCTTAGTGTTTTTTCTGTTGATGTTCTTGAAGTCGTAGTTACTTTTATGTCTGTCTAGGATACCTTTAAGTAATTTCTACAAGGTTGGTTTGGTGTTCATGAAGTTCTTCAGCTGTTCTTTGCCTTGGAAATATCTTATTTGTCCATCAGTTTTCAAGGACAGTTTTTCAGCGTACATCAATCTGGGTTGGATGCTGTTATACTTTAGGATTTGAAGTACTTCACTCCATGCTCTTCTTGACTTGATTGTTTGTGTTGAGAAGTCTGCTGTATTTCTGATGGGCTTTCCTTTATAGGTGATCTGTCTATTCTATCTAGCAGCTTTTGATATTCTGTTCTTACGTTGAATTTCTGGAATCTTGATTATTATATGTCTGGGTGT